CAAGTGATAGCGAGGGCTTTCTTCTTCCTCAACCGAGTGGGGCATTCTTGAGCAAAGTGGCCAAATCCTTGGCATTCATAGCATTGGAATCTTTCAGAGTTTCCTTCTATCTTTCCTTTCTCCTTCTTGGCTATAGAATTAATTTTAAGTTTATCTTTGCTTTTAGATTTATGAGTATGAGTAGATTCCAAAAGATTAGGATTCTTTTTCAAAAAGGAGTTTATTTAAATTGTTTATAACAAAAAAGCAAGAACACGTAATCTATGGAATCTATCTCACAAATTCCTCCATCAGTAAATCCTCTCCAACTCTATGAGCCTACTAAATAGTAATATCTTTGTGTTTTTTTTTGAAATTTCTATGTGCCTTCAATAAGTTTGGAGAGGATTTTCCAACCAACTGATCTAACTTGAGGTTGTGCAACATCTTGAGCCTCCCCAATAAGCCGTAACTTTATGGTTAGAACCGATCGGGCAAATGGATCTCAAAATTTTTCACACAAACTTTGGATTCTTGTGTATTTTTTTCACCTAAAGTGAAGCTAGAATTTACAATGTCACTCAATTTTCGCATAATATTCATCAAAGGTCTTACTATCTTTTATTGATAAGGTTTTCGAAAACTAGATTGTGAGCTTGAAGTTTTGAGCGTTTAACAGAAGGAGGTGCCCTCATGAACAGTTTGTAAGATATCCCAAGCCTCTTTTGTGCGACTTCACAATTACAAAATACACTAAACTCTTTAGGTGTGGCAGCGCAAAAGAGAGAATTTAGATAAAGGCTTTTAACTATATCTAAGCTATAAACTTAATATGTTGGTAATCAATTGTGTCCCACTTTTCAATTGGTTTGGGGAAAGTTACTCCATCAACAGTAATTGTTGGTTCGGTCCACCCATTCATGACAGATTACCAAACTTTTTCATCTATAGATTTCAAAAATGACCTCATCCGAGCTTTCCAAAAAGAATAATTATATCCGTCAAGTAGGGGTAGTCGAACCATAGAATTTCCCTCACGAATTGAATCCATTATCACAAATCAAACAAGATCTCGCTCTAAAGTTTTAAAAAACAAACGAGCAACCTGCTTTGATACCAAATTGAAAAATCTAGAAAATCACAAGATGTTGATTCGTGATTATGTATCAATTTTAAGCAGAATATAACAATCCCAATCAAACAATCAAAGACAAATCAACACAACGATTTTACGTGGAAAAACCACAATTGGACACCTCCAACTGTGATTAAAAAATCACGGGCAACATCCACAAAAACAATCCACTAAGAAGATTTAAAGGAATTACACAGGTATACTCTCAATTACCTAGCGAATCCACGCCTAATTGAACCAACCTCTATGTGCCTCTTCCAACCCCATCTTCACCTCGGAATTGTCTTTTCAATGAGCCACTCCAGAATCCACCGAAGCTTCAGGCTCGAATTCTTCCGAATCAATTGAAGAATAACTCTCTCTTTTGTATGACAAACAAAACCTTTGATGTACTCTCTTTTAAACCATAAGTTGAATACTTAATAAAAACATCAAAGAAAATCAGCAAAATATCCCCAGATATAAACCTTAGAATCCAAAAAGAAGATCTGGAGGACTTGAGGAGTAGTCTAGTTTTGAGAGAAAACCAACTACTTATAGAAAACCAAAAGTAATCGTAGTTTCTTCAGAAAACCAAATCCTTATCGAAATCCGGAAACTGTGTTCGCGTGGTCCGCTCGAGTGTGGGACTTCCCGCTCGAGCGGAGACTTCATATTCCGCAATTCATATAGGCTTCATGCTCGAGCGTCAGTTTCGACGCTCGAGCGTCAAATCACACCATCCAGTACTTTTTCAAGCATAGCAGAGATGCTGTGAGCTTGAAAACCCCGTTCGAGCGTCACTTTCCCCGTTCGAGCGGGGAGACCAAAATTGAATGCATTTTTGCATTTTGCTTCGACTGCGAGCTGACCGGGCAGCTCGACCCCGTCATAATCAGCGAAGTGGCAATCTTGAAAGCATTAGCATCACAAACTTCTCTGCAAGGCTTGATTCGAGTTGGATTCGCATCTAAACAACTTATAGCCTCACTGAAATAAAAATGCGAATAAAATTACAACTCAAAGGAGTTTTGTCAAACGGGATTGCCAAGAAATAAAACCTAACATAAAGGATTCGTCATTTACCTCATTTTCGTTCTCAAGTGCCATTAAGCATAGGTTAGCAACCTCATTTTTGCAAACTTCAATTTCTGTGTCGCTTTCATCACTATCTTCTCGCTGTAATCATAACTTTCTTCTTGTCCTTCTTGAATTTTTTCTTAAGTTCTGAACATTCTGATTTGTAATGTCCAGGTTTGTTGCATTCGTAGCAGGTTACTTCAGATTTTTTGTGAATTTGTCCTCTTTGAAAATCCATGTTGTTGAAGTCTTTTCTGAAAAAATTCCGTGCGCCTTGTTTCTTTCTCACAAACCTTTAGAACTTTCTAGTGATGAATGTCATAACTGCATATTCATTAAAGAATTTAAAATTTCAAATCACACTTCATCTGAGACAAGTTCAATTATGTAACAATAATAATATGACCAGTGTTTATTCAGTTTTAGCTGATATAATGCTATTAGCAAATGTAATGCTAGAGTAAATTTAAAGATTAAAGGGTGCTTTATTTTGGGCAAAAAGATCTACGTGGGATACAGGAATAAAATCAATTGTTAAGATAAATAAATAAATAAAAGTGCAGCAGTTTCTTGCTGGTGCGAGTTAAATCCGCAATCCACCCGCAACCCACAAACATGCTGTTATTCTAGATAGGCAACCCAAGAGGGGCAGTGAATTGGGTTATTATAAATTTCACAATATTAAAATTAACACAATATTCAAAATTTTAATAAATAAATAAAACAGAATAATAATTATCAATATAAAAGTAAAAGAGATAGGAAGAGAAAATCAAACACTGCGATTTATAGTGGTTCGGCACGCTAAGCCTACGTTCACTCCCCAAGGAACCTCCTTGAGAATTTCTTTACTATCAGTTGAATAAATACACCACAAAACTTGTGGATTTGGCACATGATTTACTCTTATCTATTGAGCCTCACTCAACAATAAATGACATACCCTTACAAAATCTCTCACAAAAATAAGGAATAAGAATAAGTGGTACTTAAACCCTCTTTTACAATAATTCTCTCACAAATAGTAGATATAAAAGTGTAAGAACAAAGGCTAGACTTAGATCTGAAAGTGAAAGTGCAGAATACAATGTACTCAGAATTTTGGAGCTTAAGAAAATTTTCTCTTCAAGTTCTTGATTTTTCTCCACATACAACACTTCTATTTATACACAAAAATATACCCGTTAGACGCTCCTTGCTGACATCATGGCTTACATAAGCACGCTCCTGATGTCATGGCTTACATAAGCACGCTCCTTGATTTTAAATAGTCAGCAAATGTTAATAATTAAAAAGATAAAAATAAGACTAATTTTTTCTTTTCCTTTTTTGTTTTTTCAAACATGGAGCCACCGCTTTTGTAGACAATTTAATACAAAGTTTATAACTTTCAAACAAACAAATGATTTGCTCCATTTTGTTTATAATATATATATATATATATTTATATAACTCCATCTTTTTTTTCTTGTTTGATTATAATATGATATAATCAATATATTGTAAAAAGTTTAATAGCGCACGCGATGTATTCTATTTATATTATATGCATTATATATATAATGTTCTAATCAAATATTTGCATACAGAAAAATCTCTTTAATAATATTTATGATGGATCTGAAAATATATGCCCTCTTTAAAATATTGTATATGTTGTAAATATTTTAAACTAAATATATTCTACCACTACACATTTGGATATATCACTTTTGTCAAAAGAAGACAACTCATTAATATCGTATTTGTCAAAATAATGCAACCAATCAATCATTTTTGTCAAAATAATATAATTAATCAATTTAATTTTGTCAAAAAGTGAATAGTGATCAGCCTAAATTTTCAAAAAGTGAATAGCAAAGTTTTCAAAAATATTTTTATTTAAATAATATTTAACAAATATATATATATATTAAAAAGATAATATTTTGTGTCAAATAATATGAATATTAAAAAAATTCAAATTGCTACAAATAATATTTTAGACATCATCAAAATTAAATAATATGATTAACACATGGCATATTTCAAACCGTATTCGTCCGTATTATATTTGTGAAACTACCCATTTATATGCGAGTTAAGCGAGTTAAACAATTTTTACAAATCAGATAAATCGTTGTCTACCCCTACTGAAAAGCACAACCACCATTTCAGGAAAACCAAATCACTGTGCTTGGTTACCAGTTTTTCAAAACACTTTTCAGAAAATTTTACTTTCTTATTTTACGTGTTTTTTTGTTTTTATTGAATTTTTTTAATATTTTAAGCAATTTTTTTACTTTTTAAACACACCTAACATAAATACACCTAAAAAGTACAAAAATTGTAAAAAAAATCTTTTAAAAATTCACTAAATACCAAAAATACAAAAAAAAATCAAGAATTTAGTATATTTTTTGTATTTCTATGTATTTATTAATTTTTTTAAATATTTTTTCATAAATTTTTTACTTTTTAGATACCTCTAACTAAAATGCATCTAAAAAAGTAAAAAAGAAATATTTAAAATTTAAAAAATATTCACTAAAAACAAAAGAATACGAAAATCAAAAAATTTAATTTTTAAAAAATTCAATTTAAAAAACTCAAACTAAACACACTGAATAATTTTTCATTTGAGAGAGAAGGAAAAGAATTCGGGGTCGAATCGTATGGTACAGAAGTCAGTGTTTTGCTTGGCTGGCATTAACACAGACTCACGCTTTTTTGAATGTGGAAAATAATGGAGAGATGCCTAATCCCTTTCATCAATCACATGGGAGTTGAGATTTACAATCTAATCTCATGAAAATATGAAGGCCCAACTAGCTAATTAAGGCCAACAATGATAGATACTGCAAGAACGCATTCAATGAAAGAAACGGCTTTGCCAGGAAGAATGGATGCTGGCCACAACAATGGAGACACCGACCATGACTGGACAACCGTCTCTAGAAAGCATAGACAACCTAGAACATCTCCCACAATCTTCATAGCCAACATTCCCGAGCAGATGCAGGTGTATTCCCTGAAGGGCATTTTTCAAAGATTTGGAAGTGTAGTCCACGCCTCAATTCCAAATAGAAGAACCAAGCGTTTCAACTCAAGATTTGGCTTCATCCGTTACGAGAGGCCAGCTTCGGCAGAGGAGGCAATTAGGAAACTCAACAGAGCATGGTATGGTGATTATCATCTTATTGTCAAGCCTGCAAGATTTGAGAGGCCGCCATATCCTGAGCACTTTCAGGCAGATCAAAAAATGAGATCCAACTTCCATGAAGCCCGCTATTCCAACACCTTGAATCTGCCAAGTGTGCACAACCTCAACAAACCCTCTTATGCGGACATCGTCAAAAGCAATGCTCTAGCTAGTGACCAAGCTAATAAGGTACATGCTTCTGAACCTTCTATCAAAGTACACGCGACAGAAGCGGATATTGAATGGCTCCATAGGAGTGTGGTGGTGAAAGCAAGCCTTCCAACTGCAGATCAGTCCATATTGAGCTCCCTCTCTCCTGAGGAAGCCAAGAATATTCAGGTGCGCGCTATGGGGGGTAAATCATATGTTCTAACTTTTGATTCCCAAGAAGCTATGAGAAACAGAATCCACAAAAACAAGGATTGGTTCACTTCAAGATTTGAGGATGCACAAGAATGGTCTCTTTGGAAACTGTCCAACCTCAGCTCAAGAACAGTGTGGATCAACTGCTATGGAGTTCCACTGAACCTCTGGAATCTCAACACATTCAAGAGCATAGGAAGAGTTTGGGGTGAAGTGATCATGGTGGATGACTCAACGTTGAAGCAACTATCATTTGAATGTGGCAGAGTTCTGATTATAACAAATCAGCTCGAGGTCATTAATCACGCCATCACCTTGGTTTGTAAGCATGATGATCATATTATCCGTGTTACAGAGGAACAGACTATGAGCACTCATACGCCAAAGGCTGCTGGAGAATTCTTTGGCAAAGAAGACGATGACGTGTCTATCCCAGTGGATGTGGCCAAT